AGTATCTCACCCCACTGTGGCATTTTCAATTCCCACATCAACTACCCTTATGGCTTATACACATGCAATTGCTAATTTGTGTTGAATTATGGTCTGTTTGTGTTCTGCACACATAAGGAATTGGTTTGAGACTACCCAAATTCAGATCACGTAAAAACCTTTGCAGTCTGCAGACTCTGGACTGCATTTGAATGCAGGTCCTATGGGTGGAATGACGGCCTTTTAATTGTATTGTAATTTATAGGAAAAAAATGAACACAGCTCTATCCAATATTAATTAGCACTAAGCTGGCCAGTCAAATCGACTGTACAAACGTTCGTGTACAAAACCATGAATGCAAATTATAACCCCCATTAAAAGATTATAAAATTACAGTATAAGTGACACCGCACAAATGGAAAAGTAGATTATGAATAAATAATTCATGCTGTATCAAATTCAGGGGTCCCACCAAATTTGGTTCATAATTAATGGTTTCATTTCTTCACTATAGGAATTATAATTATTCCATTGGACCACAGTAGACAATGGGTTTTAGGTTGCATTAAATTGAATGTGGAAATTACTTAAGAACTTAAAAGGATATTTTATAAAAATGCCTTCACTCTTTGCTGCTGACTTGTACTTCTACAGGTGTCTTCTTCTACATTAAACAAATATTAATTCTTGAGAGATAAAGCTTTTTGACCATGAGTCCAACACAACCCTCATCCCACATGTACACAATGGACACTTCACCAGGAATTATTCTGTTGGGAGTAATAGGATTAGAAGCAATTCTGGATTATTCCCCCCTCCCTTGCCAGAGTCGCTGAAGCCAATTATAGTGCTCTTCAATTACCCTGACTGAAAATAGCTAAAATCATCACACAGGGCATTGAACCTGAAACCTCCCTGGTCTGTATGATTAATTTTCATATCCGGCAGTTGCTTTACTAAGAGAGCTAAAGGGAGCCCCAAAATGTCTATCTAATACTTCTAATATTGGTCAGTAAAATATGATCAAGTACAGGTTTTAAACCGTCTCAAATTTTAATCCTACATAAAACAGCAGTTAAATTCTTTCCACAAGTAAAAAATATAATGTTAAAAGTATGATTTCTCTGAAACTCAGGAGCAGATAACCACAGTCATTATATTGGGTCGATATTAATTGATTCGAGGATATGAAGACAGAGTCATTTCTGTGTAAGTTTGAGAATCAAATATTTGAATAAATCCAGGATGCACACAGATCAATTTTTCACAGAGACTAATGAAAAGGAATTGCAAATATGTTTTTGAATACAGAATTCTTGTATATCCAACCAGGTTCAATTAGTTCACAGAAATACAATAATATTAATCATTGCATCTGACATAGTGTCTTCGAGAAATCTCAAAGCGCTTCACAGAATATATGTAAAGTGAATTGACTGTATACTTTGTGGGTGAAACACAGCAGCCAATTGCCATTGCAGTGTCACACAGTAACCAATTTATTATTATTATTTTTTTTGAAGGGATTATTTCCCTTGGAGAAGCGATCCACCACTCGACTAACAACCAAGCGCCTGCTTACTGCTAGGTAAACAGAGGCGTGTGGAGTAGGCTTCGTCCTGCCCGAGAATCGAACCCAGGTCCTCTCGCTCGTGAAGCGAATGCTCTAACCTCGAAGATAGAGGACTCCACAAATACAGCTTTAAATGAAATGCAAATTACCTCTGAGTTGCAATGGAACAGTAGGGTCACTGGAGCCCAACAAAAATAAATTGCATTTACATCGTGCCATTCACAAGACGCTGGACAATGGGGGGGGGAGGGGGTTGGGGGGTTGCACCCGAACTGCGGGTTGGCATCAGAGAAAGGGTGAGGACAAGGGGTATGGAGGAGGGAGGTGACCAAGGAGGGCAGAGAAATCCCAAGTGAGAACAGAATGTGGAATCCTGTAGCTCAGTGGTTAGAGCGCTCGCCTCGCAAGCGAGATACCTGAGTTTGATTCCTGGCAGGGTGAAACCTTGGGCAAGTTTCCTTACTCCACACACCTGATAGTAATCCCTCAAGAAAAAAGTACAATAATAATTTGGTCACTTCAATCCATGACTGATTGTGGGACACTGCTGTGCGCAATTGGCTGCCGCGTTTCGCCCACAAATATACAATCAATTCACTTTACAGTATATTCTGTGAAGCACTTTGAGACTCGAGAAGACGTGAAGAGCGCTATATCAAATGAAAGGATTATTATTATTATTAATAGTCCCGAATGTTTCATTTCTGGTCACAGTATTATAATTTTCACTCAAAACATTCTGCATTGTTCCATGAAAAAACTGCCTGTTAGGATACAAGTCTTTATGGACATCCCTCCAAGAATCAATTCAGAATAAAAGCAAAGGAAAAGCAATATGCTGATTATTTCAGCAGATATATTAAGTATATAAAATGCCCATCTGCTCTCCTACTTTCTTTGTATAAAATCTGCAGAAACATTCTTCAAATATTTTAAAACGCATTTCTTTAATTAAAGATGAGAATACAATATTTTACATGTAAATAGCACAACCCTTAAACTGCAAACACTCTAATAATACACTATTTTTACCCTTTTGATCACTAATTCAGATCGCCTCTTAAGACCTTCCTCTTTGAATGGGCCGACATTTCCTCCCCTCCCTCCTCAGCTGAGGGTTAAGCTCTGGCACTGAGATACTACCCCATGTAAGGGTGGTGGTAGTTTTGTAATTGGATTGCTCTGTCTCCACTGGAGTGGGTTAGGAGTATTCCATGTGGTTGGTAGAGAATGTGTCCTGTCCCTGATCTTCCTTCGAGGGATTCCAGATATTTGTTGAAGTGACACTAAACATTTGACCAAACTCCCCCAAGTTTTCTCAACAACTTGCATTTATACACGACCCTCATGCAGGATAGCTCCCCAGAGCTCTTGTTCTTAAATCTTTTATTTATTTTTAAATCTACATTAAGATTTGACCAACTGATTGCATATCTATTGTTGTGAATGGTGGTGTCCACCTAAGTGGGAGATAGCTGTACTGGAAATGGGACACTTTCTCATAGGATATACTATTTTTCCTAGTATACAAGGTCTATGAAACCTTAGCTAAGGTGTTCCCAAGAATTCTAAGTTATAAGCAAGTGTGCAGCAGAGCATAACGCCTTTATTGCATGCCTGAACTCCCAATAGATTTAGACTGCCACTTAAATATTTGTCATTAAATTGATTTGCTCGATCCAGCTTGCTTGCTGATGCATCCCATTCCACCAAAATACCAAGTGGATATCACCGGCTATTGCGCAACTTGATTGACCAAGTGGAGAATGTTACACAAACCGAGAAGATAAAATTGACTCTCTAACTCTCATCAACTGAGGTGCCTATTTAGCCCAATTCTTCTGCTATCACATGCACAACATGTGGGATACTTGCAATCTTGCTAGGGTCACATAACACTTAACTATTTTTCTCTCTTTAAACCCTTCCCAGCTAAGTCTGATTCATTGCTTAAAATTTTGCTGTCTTATTACTCAATTTCTCAACCTTCCCCAATCAGAATTTAAACCCCACCTCCTAGAATTATCAATCCCACCTTGGCTACCGCATTTCACCCACGAATATACAGTCAATTCACTTTGCAATATAGTTCTGACGAAAGGTCATAGACCTGAAACGTTAACTAATTTCCTTCTCTCCAGAGAGGGAGGAACCTGCTGGTATCCCCAGCAACTTCCATTATTATTTCAGATTTCCAGCATCTGCAGGATTTTGCTGTTTTGTTTACACTTTACAATATATTCTGTGAAGCGCTTTGAGACGGCTCAATGACGTGATAAGGTTTTATATCAAATTCAAGGATTATTTTACACAACTAAATTTCACAATCCAACAGCATCTCACCAAAATTCTCAGTCATCCAATTCACTCAAGGTAATTATCCTGTTCACAACAGTGCAGCAAAGAGTGCTCTTTGAGATTTTCTTTGTTGAGTTCAATGCCAACAAAGGGTGCCAAAAGTGAAAAAGGGCCCAATTCCAGTAAAGTTGTCCCTCACTTAGGTGAGCACCACCATTCACAAAAATAGATATGCAATTAAATTGGTCAAATCTTAATGTAGATTCTTTTTCAATAAAAGCAGATTCACGGAACGATGTAACTTTATTCCTCATCAAAACAGTTTAACTTTTCATTATTCGAACTCTTCATCACAAAGGCACCAAAGTGACGCCCACAAAATATAGTCAATTCACTTCACAGTATATTCTGTGAAGCGCTTTGAGTTGTCTAGAAGACATAATAAGACGCTATATCAAATGCAAAGATTATTATTAGTGAGTGTAACATCTATTCCAAACTTGGTACTCTAGTTTGCCTTGAAGAGCCAAGTTATAGTTACAAAAAGTTAAATAGTTCACCTTTTCAATTTCTCTTCCTGATTTTCAAAACAAGCAGGTCATCATGTGCAGATCAGTTGCAGTATAGGTCACAATGGATTATTAAGTTTATCAATGTTGATCATAACTGATCAATGTAATCAAGTTTGAAATTGCATGACGTTTCTCCAGATACCCATAGATTTTACTCGCACACTTAAAAGTTTGCAACAACTAAGGCTCACTCTTTCTTCACTGGTAATTTCAGACCAAATAAATGACACAGCAAAGTCATCAACAACAAATTGCATTTATATAGCGCCTTTCACTCAGGAGGATGTCGCAAGGTGCTGGACAGTCAACGGTTTCCATCCAACCTGGGGGTTGGATTATTGAAAGTAGGGTTGAGTCACCTTATTTAATGCTTGGTAACCCTTGGATCATATTTCTTCCAGTTGGAAAATGATGCCTTTTGCTACAATAATCAACTGTAATCGACAAGATAATAATTTTGCTATAACCAAATATGTACATAGTAAATGCAAATTTCATTACATGGAACTGGTTTGCAGACTAGTTGTGACAAAAATATCTTCATTGTAGTACTGGTAGTTGATAACTAATCCACTACCTTTTTCAGCTCTTCTTTTCAATCCAAACTCTGCAAAATGGACTATCAAATGCAGCACTTCTACTTCATTTTCCTAGGAAGAAAAATAAAGTCAGGGATTATTAGTTACAGACAGATAAGAACTAGATCCAAGACACACATTAACCACAGTGACCATTGGCACTGTGGTATGTGAATCACAATTGTCCACATCATTATAAAATGTAACACAGCAAGACGCTCCCAGGAACTTTATGAATAATATTCCCTTTGTGACTATTTTCTGACTCGCATCAGTCTCCAAACACTAATCTGATATGTGTTTGGTTCACTTGACACAACCTGGATTACTGTAGTTCGTTCCAATTAGGAGCATCACCACCATCCTCTCCATGCCTCTACAAGGATGTCAAACGGATGGCCCGTGGGGTGATATTTGGCGATCTGCCCATTAGTTTCTAAAATTGCATTGATATACTGTGCTATAATTTTTCTTTAAACCAACCGTCCTCTTTTTAATATAAGACATATATTCAAACTTGTGCATTCTGCATTGCATTTGTGGCATTCCCTCCAAGTCAATGACAACTGAGTTAGTAAAATTTGCCAATCAGATGGCACACAGAACGAGTTTGCTCATGAACTACATTTAACGTAGCAGCACACAACTAGTGTTGCGTAGTACAGGGAGGTGAAGTAATATTAAAACTGTGTTTCTTTTACTCTATTAAATTTAAAATAAGTCACTTTTCCGGGGGTAGTAATTTGTTTAAAAAAAATTGGTCACACAATCCACGACTGTTTTTGGGACACTGCTGTGTGCAATTGGTTGCCGTGTTTCGCCCACAAAATATAGTTTACACTTTACAGTATATTCTGTGAAGTGCTTTGAGACGTCCCGAAGACCTGGTAAGGCGCTATATCAAATGCAAGGATTAGTATTATTATTATGACACACGGACAAAGTATTCAGTTTACTGAAAATAACAATGAAAGAAGCTATGCAGTCTCAAATCAAAACGTTTTTCTGAACGTGACAAAAATAGTGAAAGTGCTGTTGGCAGAGATTGCATGTGCTGAGAAACGGTTTTCAGATAGCAAATTTATTAAAAGGTGCGTGCTTAAAACAGATGATGCATTAAACCCTGAAAAAAAGATAACATTGTTCTAACGTCAGTTTGTCTCGTAACACGGTTGCTGAGTGAATTACCAAAATAGGAGTCAACATTAAACTGCGACTTAAAGAAAAAGCGAAGTTTTATGCATTTTCAGTCATCTTGGATGAGAGCACAAATCTCGATGACACAGTCCAGCATGCAATTTGTTTTAAGAATAACCACCCACGACTTTAATGTTGCTGTCGAAGTTTGGAAAATAAATAAATGCAGCACTAATTTTCTTACATTATTCTGCATCAACAGGCATAAAAGGTTGAGGAACTAGGACACATAATGAACATTTTCCTGCATATTTTATTGATGACTAAGAATTGTGCAGTGGGTGTAATATTTTGTACATATATTTGAGCGAATACAAATACCATCACTGTAGACCTTTTAGGTACAGTAAGTTAAGTATAACTTTTTTTTAAAATGGTGCGGCCCACCAAGTGAACAGTGTTAACTCAAATGGCCGTTGGGGCCAGATGAGTTTGATACCCCTGCTCCGCAATGGCATAAAGCGACTTGAATCCCCCTGGCTCGGCGCCGGGATCCATTACTGTAAAGCGCTCTGAGACGCCGTCCACCGTGGAGGGCGCTATATAAATCCATGCTGTTGTTGTTGTTGTTGAATAGCAGTCAAATTTTCACCTTATGCAACTTTTCATGCAATACTTTCCAAGGCCTTGCATTGATTCTTCAAATTGGAATTAGAAGGGGAAACAGACAGATCATCGCGTTACAGGACTATTATCTGAAACTATTTTGTAAAAGCAGATGAAGTTTCAAATGAATTACAACCAGCATTTATCATGATCCATGTTTTGCATGGTTAAATTGGGATTACACAGAATAATAATAATAATCCTTGCATTTGATATAGCGCTTTTCACGTCTTCTAGACGTTCCAAAGCGCTTCACAGAATATACTGCAAAGTGAATTGACTGTATATTTGTGGGCGAACGCGGCAGCCAATTGCGCACAGCAATGTCCCACAGTCGTAGATTGAAAATGACCAATTTATTATTGTTTTGTTTTTTTGGAGGGATTATTATTAGGCTGTGTGGAGTAAGGAAACTTGCCCAAGGTTTCAGCTATTCATATTCAACAAAATTGGTTTCTCAATGCATTGTAAACAATAAAACAAATTGTAGCCATACAATTTGAGGTTTCGTGAATTAATTGTTCCGTGAAACAAAAGCTAATATTAATTTTTTCATTTTTTGGGGGCGTTAAGGGTCGAATTCATTTTCCCCATCCACAAGGGTCAAAAGTGCTTGTAGGTTGGCAGCAACGATGCATTCACGCGGGAAACATTTCGTCGCACCAGGAAAGGAGAGGAATAAATAAGTAGGGTCCAGACACATTTGGACCGAATGGACAGCGGCTCGATAGCAGCGGAGCAACTCGAAAACCAGCCTGGAGACGTGCAGGAGGACCGCACACACTCCCCAAGATCCGACATTCACTTTTATTATTATTATTATTATTATTGCATTAAAACAATAATAAAATTGGTCATTTTCAATCCAGGACTGTTTGTGGGGACATTGCTGTGCGCAATCGATTGGCTGCCGCGTTTCGCCCACAAATATATACAGTCAATTCACTTTACAGTGTGTTCTGTGAAGCGCTTTGGGACGTCCTCCCGACGTGAAAAGCGCTATATCAAATGCAAGGATTATTATTATTATTATTATTATACCCCCCTCTCACCCCCTCAAAAAAACCCCAACAACAACAACACGACAGTAAAAGTTAAGCGATTCGCAGACAAGTTTAGAGCTGCTGCAGAGAGAGAGAGAGACAGACAGACACAGGACTTCCCGGCGGTTGGCGGCCGCGGGTCAAACCGTTTGGAAGTTTCCCGAAACTCTTTTCAAATCTCTCGAAAGTTCCAACAAAACATAAACGGTTGAAAAACGGCGGAGAGCGGCGCCGGAGAGGGTCAGGAGAGCGACGGCTTTCACACCCCCCAACACACCCCCCCCCCCCCCAACACACACACACACACCCCAACCCCCGAAGCCTTTCGAGTTAAAAGAGGGAGAAGACGTTACCGTGAACGTAGCGCTTCTCCACTGGCGAAGGCTTTCCGGGTACCGGGAAAAGACCAGCGCCGGGGATCACCCCCTCTACCCCCACCTCAACAACAACACAACCAACAACAATGGCGACAGGTTCGTTCTGAATTAAATCATTACAGATTAAATAGACAGTAAGTATACATATATATATACACACACACACAGACACAGGGAAACGCTCCACAACACGGTTCGGGCTGATCCCGCGGAAGAGGAAGCTGCGGCTCCCAACTCCTTCCGATTGCCAGAGCCGCACTCGGGGCAACACGGACGAGTTGGGTCCCTTCGCAAAACTTGGCGGGGGGTGGGGCGGGGGGGGTTGTTTTTTTCTCTCTCTCTCTGGATGTGTCACGCAGTTAATAACACAACCCCAAACCCACCCGCCCGTACAGTTGGAGCAGCAGCAGTTTTCTCTGCGTGCGAGTGTGTGTGTGTGTGTGCGTGAGGGGGTGGGAATGAAAATGAACAATATCATACTTTTTTTTTGAGGGGAGGGGGGGGGTCGAGCAGCGGTGAGAGGATAATGTGAATACCGCAGGTGTGCATTACCCCCCCCGCCCCAACCTGCCTCTGCTCCCCCTCCCTCTCTCCTCCCCTCCACGCCTGTTAAGGTTGAGGGGCAGCATTGACTGGGGCGGGGCGTGAGAGTGGGCGGGGCCGAGCTAGGCGTGGGCGGGGCCCGGGCGCGCGGCTCCCCGGCTCGAGCAGCTGGGGGGCGGGGGGGGGGGGGGGCCGGGTTGGATTGGGGTGATTGGCGTGCGACGCGTTGCCACGGCAGCCGCCGGGCCGGCGCCAGCTGGAGCGCTGTGTGAATGGGTGACGTCACGGGGCTGGCGCCGGCCAGTCTGGGCGCGCGCTCTGTTACGATCCCGCTGCCAATGAATCAGTTGTCAGTGAGCAAAGCGGCGCTGACCTCAGGAATGTACACAAGAGTTACTGGCTGCAAAGACAACACAGCTGGGCAGCCAGGGGGCAAGTCAGAGGGAGGAAGGGAGAGAGAGGAGGAAGGGAGGGTGGTGGGAGAGAGAGGAGGAAGGGAGGGTGGTGGGGGGGGACAACGACGACCAGGTGCCACGAATAACACTGTTCGCAAAAAACCCACCTCTTGCACCGAGCCTTGGACCACCACCCCCTACCCCCACACACCACCCCCCCCCCGCTCGCCCGAGTCCAAATCCCTGACTGTCCGGCGCCTTGGGACGTGCGCAATGGGACCGCACGTAAATCGGTGCCACTCTTGCATGGGCTCAGTCACCTGTCTGTTTAGAGACGGTATAAGAATGACTTCAATTTTTCTTTAAATTGCATTGAGCGGTTTGTTCAATCCAGATATTAGGGAACTTTTTAAAAAAGAATCTTAACAAGACCATATCATTTGTAACATACTTTTTTAATTTAGATTGCACTTCAGGTCTACAGAAGCCCATTATATCATGAGATCAAACATGATCACAGGATAGCTTGAATGAAGAAGGCCCTTCAGCCCATCCGATCTCATCCTACCAGAACACCCACCCTACCGACCCCACATCACTGCATCAAGCTGTTTTTTAAATGAGTTCAGTGTCCTCTCCTCATCTACCTTTTAGAGGGTATACTGTAACATTGATTGTTCTGTGAACCATAATATCTTGCAAATCTTATTTTACTCTAAGCAGTGTTTCCTCAATAATGTTATCTAATGTTTTCATCTATGTCTTAAATCACCTGTTCTTGCTTACTTAATCTGGCCACCAGAATTCCCATATTTATTATTCAGAACTCAGGTTAAAGGTTATGTCTCATCATGCAGTGCATGACCAAAGTTGTAAACAAGCAGTGAAATTAGATAAATCAAGCAGTAGAGCCCCGTAGCTCAGTGGTTATAGCACTCGCCTCGCAAGCGAGAGGACCTGGGTTTGATTTCTAGCAGTGCGAAACATTGGCCATGTTTCCTGACTCCATCCGCCTCTGTTTACCTAGCAGTAAGTAGGAACCCGATTGTTAGTCAACTGGCAGATTGCTTTTCCAGGGATAAATAATCCCTTAAAAAAAATCTGGTCACTTGCGCTTTGACATGTTTGGAAAATGCGATATAGCGTTATATCAAATGCAAGGTTTATTATTATAAGTACTGATTTGGTGATATTATGCCTGGCTTTTAAATGCTTGTTACATCTCTCCCCGCCTTAAAACCTAACAAAAGATATATTTCTTCAACCATTATATTTGTGTCTTCAATGTCTTTAAATCTCTAATTTCCCTGCTCGCTATCTACCACTAAATTTTTCTGGTTTTTTCTGTAATATTAAATGTCAACCTGGCTCAGTTGGTTCCACTCTCATCTCTGGAGCATTGGAAAACAGGAGGAGGCTATTCAGCCCATCAACAACAAGATTACATTTGGATAGAGGCTTTCATGTCGGGAGGACGTCCCAAGGCACTGGACAGTACACAGCATTTCAGACCCGAGCTGGGGTCAGGGGGGAGAGGGGAGGGAGGGAAGGGGGGTGGCCGATGGCATGGTCGAAGAGGAGGGTCTTGAGGCGGGACTTGAAGGAGGCTAAGAAGGGGGCGAGGCGGAGTGATTGGGGGATGGAATTCCAGAGGTTGGGGGCAGAGTGGCTGAAGGCTCTCCCGCCGATGGTGGGGCGGGTGGGTCAGGCGACGTGGAGCAGGCCAGAGCCGGCTGAGCAGAGGGAGCAGGAGGATTGGTAGAGGTTTAGGAGGTCACAGAGATAGGATGAGGTGTGACTATAAGCTTTTTGTAGGTGAGGACCAGGATTTTGAACTGGATCCTCTGAAGGATAGGGAGCCAATGGAATCGGGCGAGAATGGGGGAGATGGGGTCACGGAGTTTGGTGCGGGAGAGGACACGGGCTGCAGAGTTCTGGATTATCTGCAGCCTGTGGAGGAAGGAGTTGGGTAGGCCAACAAGCAGGGCGTTTGCATAGTCAAGCCTGGAGGTGATGAAGGCATGAATAAGAATTTTAGCGACCTGAAGGGGTGAGGTAGTGAATCAAGCCTGTTCCACCAGTTTATTAGATCAAATCAAATATTTTAATCCCAAATCTCTGCCTTTTCACAATAACCTTTAATACCTCTACTACCCATTATCTGTCTGTCTATAATAATAATATCCTTGCATTTGATATAGTGTCTTATCAAATCTTCAAGACATTTGGAGTCCTGTGGCTCAGTGGTTAGAGCACTCGCTTTGCAAGCGAGAGACCTGAGTTCAATTCCAGGCAGAGGGCGAAACCTTGGGCAAGTTTCCTTACTCCACACAGAGCCTAATAATAATCCCTCCAAAAACCAAAAACAATAATAAATTGGTCATTTTCAATCTACGACTGTTTGTGGGACATTGCTGTGCGCAATTGGCTGCCGCGTTTGCCCACAAATATACAGTCAATTCACTTTACAGTGTGTTCTGTGAAGCGCTTTGGGACGTCCTCCTGACGTGAAAAGCGCTATATCAAATGCAAGGATTATTATTATTATTATAAAGTATTTCACAGAATATACAGTAAAATTAATTGACTGTATATTTTGTGGAAGAAACAGCAGCCAATTGTGCATGGAAGTGTCCCACAAACAGTCGTGGATTGAGTAACCAAATTATTATTTTTTTTAAAAAAAATTGGTTTGAAGCGTTTATTACCCCCGGAAATGCGATCTGATAACTGACTAATAACCATGTTCGCATTTACTGCTAGGTACACAGAGGCATATGGAGTAAGAAAAGTTGCCCAAAGTTTCGCCCTGCTCAGGAATCAAACCCAGATCCTCTCACTTGCGAGGTGAGTGCTCTGACCTCTAAGCTACAGGATTCCACGATAAAAGATATCTCTCTTTTAAACATCCCTATTGATTTCATCTCTACAGATTTATTCAGCATAGCATTCACATCTGCACAATTTATAGGATGAAGAAATGCTTCCTGACAGCCTTAGTTCTGAGGAGAAGGTTGAGGATTCAAGCCTCATGTCGGGACTTTGAAGTCAAAGATTAACCCGTAGAATACTGGTAGAGCGCTGTCAGAGATGCTGGCATTCAGATAAGACATTGAACTGAGGTCTTGTCTACCTGTTCAGGTGGATGTTAAAGATCCCATGGGATTATTCAAAAAGAAAAGGGATTTTCTTCTGATGTCCTGGCAAATAATCCTACAGATAAAAAAAAATTGGCCATTCATTTCATGACTATTTGTGGGACATTGCTTTGTGCAAATAGGCTGTCACGTTCACTTAGAAGTCAGGCCCACAAGTCGGTACACTTTAGAGAAAACTCTCATGAACTTTGAGATGTTTCAGTATGGCACGGCATTATATCAAATTCAAGGATTATTATTAATACAAGATGTTGTTGCTATTGTAGATTGTGATAGGGAGGGAAAAGTGAGAGGGTAAGGAGTTTCACAGGCCTGAAGTACTGGTTCAGAATGAGTTTAGATTTCAGCAGTAACGAAAAGGAAGGTATTGGCTGCTTTTGAGTAACAAGAGATGAAAGTTTAAAGCACTGAGCATTGTCGTATTGTTAATTAGAGGGATCAGGCAAGATTGCGATAGAGAGAGGGGGACATGGAGATGAAGAAAGGATTGCCTATTGGGCCACAAACCTCTTCAGGTCTAAGAGTTGAAGAGGTTTTCAAAGAGCCCAAAGAGCCATTAAATATGCAGTATTGAATCTTGTTTGGTTTTATTTTCAATTATATCGTTACACTTGTTTCCTGCTAATGAACCTCCATTCTTATCAAGTCTAGTATTCCTGTGGCTGTCTTCAGAAAAGTTACAAAAAAGGGATTTTGGGAGTTGCCAAAACAACTGTGAATTTAAATTCTCCAGCCATAACATTAAGTCTCTAATCTTGGAAGTGATTCAGAATGTAACGGAGCAGTCACTCTTCAGCCTCTGAATTTCAAATACACTCAGCCATTTCAGCAACATTCAATCAGTATTGCTGCAGCTCTTAATTACATTCAATATTTTAATATGTGCGAGCAAGTGGAATACATGATGTACATTGATTGATAAGGTATTGAAATTATTGAATGACATCAATTCTACGAACAGATAACCAGTGACATGAAGAACTACTTCCAAATCCAGTCATTTTTTTCCAGAAGACAAAGCTTCCAAGTTGTTGATACCATATCATATAAATTGGTTGTGATTTTTAATTGTTTAAAATGTTCTTTAACAATTGTGCAATGTTAAGTCTAAGGAGACAGGCAAGCTTCTATTGTAGCATAGTCCTGGAATCTCTTGATGCAAACCTCTGGGGATAGTGTTTGGGAACACAACCCAGTGCACATATGCGAGAGCAACCAAATTAAACGGAGACAAACTTTTAAACCTTTTGTTGAAAACCAAGCAACAATAAGTATTTGTGTGCCTCCTTATTGTTTAAGAGCAGTTCTCAAGAACAAGTGGTAAAAGAAAGAGATTTACACACAACGCTGAGATATAAAGATGGGTTAGGAGAGTCGTGTCAGCCGTGAGATTTATTCCTGGTTACCAAAAGTACTGACATCTTACTAGCTCATGATAAATAAATAGATTTACTGGGGTGGGGCTGATTATATTGGCTGCACACACTAACACCTGCAGAACTGCTAAACATTATTGTGCATGCGCAATGTTTAATCTTACATGCATGCATGCAAATTAATGTCTGTTAATTGCTTATTGAGTGCTGTTCAGCCTACTGTTGGTTAAACAAAATGTTAAATAGCTCTTGAGAAAAGCTCTTGCATCTCTTGTTTTACTAGTAATTTTCCAGCTGGTAAACATAGTGTTTATTCAAACAAAACTCTGCAATAGATTTGATTGAAGCAAAATCAAATCTTCCATTTGGTGTTTTATTAAAATCCAAAGATATTTACAGACTGTTCTACAAATCAATGTTATTTATTTGTTTTGAGAAAAATATCCAGTCTGCACTTCATAAATTAATAATTGGTAAATTTAAGAATCTAACAATTGCATATCATTTTCTATCCAGTGATTTGCATTCAGCATAATACCAGAATATCAACTTCAGTGTTGAAATGCTAGTTAGTATTGTAGTTATAGAACCGTTGCAAAACATAAGTCCAAGACTAAGACATCACTTTGGTCTAATTACAACCTGTACTAAAGAGTACGGGGCTGTTACATACACTTTTGAGATCAATTTTCAGCAAACTCGCCTCAAAAGCGCAGTAAAACAGGGATATAAAAGATCGAGGCTGAGACCAGACCAATGTCGGATCCACAGAGTCGTGATTCGAGAAAATAATGCACTATAAAGGCGGACAGTAAAAGCAGAGTAAAAGAGAAAGACCGTCAATTTAGGCATTTTTAAATATATATGTATACCATTTATGTTTGGTGCATGTAATACTAAAGAATACAGAATCAGAAGGTCGCAAATTTTGTTCTCAATTTATTTCGTGCTCAGTCAGATGATCTCAATCCGGCAGCATGTGGATATTAAAATTGGATTTGATGTCCCCTTGGCGAGGAGGGATAAAAAAAATCAGTCAAGGGTTTTTTTTTGCTCCTGATGCAATCCAGTGACCCCTGCTGGAAACCGCGGGTGTGTGGATCATGAAAGGTGAGGACAGCATCAGACACAGCGACAATGTTCCCCTTGAACCCCTAATTGAATGGTACACTGAGACTGTCCAGGACATTCGCACATATATATATATATTAAAAAAAGCCACTTGTGCAAGGTATCAGAGCGCTGGATGATGCCAGTGGAATTGCATCTGAACTCGTGTCAGTGCTTTCGGGAGAGGAGAGGAGAAAAAGGGAGAGAAAGAAAATGGGCAAAAGCAGAGGTGACATCCGAACTGTGCAATGGGAGGAAATCAATGTGACATTTCAACGTGACATTGAATTCGGTATTCATACGTAGAACAGAAGAAACACAGATTGGTATCAAATATTGTTATTGATATGAAATTAATTCTGGTGCGATTTGAACACCAATCAGAGATAATGGATACTTGGACTGATTTTTAAGAGGTTTGTCAGGAAGTAATTGATTGCTTTATTTTAGACCAGAAGTGAAAAAGGAACCCAGTACCTTTTGTGGGACGACTGAAATTATTCTATTATTCTACCATGTGTTATATACTGGACCGCAGATTTCCCCCAACAACAACACCGACTGCAAATTATTTCTCAATGAAACTTGGAACAATGATATAATTATTATTAACATTTCTGATTAAACAATATCATCTATCAGTGATGCGCAGAATACTAGAAGTTAGCATCGACCTGAGAACCACTGTTGGAAAAACACACGCTATATAAATTAAACTAATTCTGCAATATAGAGTATCTATTCAGCACTATTAATGCTGCAAATAATAGGTACTGCGGAATGATTTGAAGAATTTTGTCGCATCTTAAATTCTCACCGACTGTAATAAATTGTTCTGCGTTTGCCTTTTGTGGTTTATTATCAATTGAAACCTGAGATGAGATTACTGTCTGCCCATGAATCTCAGGTATCTATTATTATGTGAATTAATATTATCATTTTGGTCTTGGTACTGTTTATGTGTGTCCACTCGCCATCACTGAATGAACGTTTCCAATAGCTAATGACACTATTCATTGGAAATGGAACACAAACATATTGCATTAACATAAACACAAGTACACACACACACACACACATTTTGTATATACAGTAGAAACACAAATATATATATATACACCAACACACGCGGACACACAAACAAAAACCGTAAAACACTTGCACATTTTTATGTACTGCCTATACAGAAAGAGTGGCACAGAACAGAGTTGAACTATCCGCCAGCCTACAGATATACTTAGCAATTACCTTTAAAAATGCTCGAGTCATTTTCATCCAAATAACATGAAGTCGGGTGACCAGCATCATATTCACACACACATACAGGGAGAGAGAGAGAGAAATTATCATTTCTGTAAAATGCAGTCTTTTTTTTTAGTTAGTCTTTTGCTGAATGTGATAACGGTGAATGAGGTAAAATCCATCTCGAAAGCGCAGTTAACTCGGGGTCTGTAGCACTGGTGTGTGAGGTCTTTCTTTATTCCGGATTACATGCAAACGTAATTGAGCACAGCGGGTTATCGCTTTCACCATTTACGCACAGGCGGCTCGGTACGGTTTTACGAGGAATAGCGGACGGGAAAAAACAATAATGTTATATATTGTGTTGCATTGTCTGCGCACCATGTGGCACAGCAAACCCGAAAGGAACAAAAACATCGCTGAAATTAACGAGGCTTTTGTTACACAGCGTTTGTGCACATGGAAGGGAAAGGGTTGGTCAATATCAGTGCTGTTCTGTGCAAAGTCCGAACGAATGATGTGCTTCTGGAGGCGAGAAATAAAACTCGGTGCTGATGTATTTTTTTGCGTTTACATTGACGGATGTAAGATCGCCAAATGTTTTAATTGGCGCTGTGGTTATGCATCGATGGCGTTACGGTCCCGAATAAGAAAGCATCGCGTACAAACGCCCGGAAATAAATAAAATAATCCAACAAGTTAAGGAACAGAAAAGAAAGCAAATCCTCCGCGACAGTGACTGAAACGAGCCAACGTCCGTCTGTCGGTCGGTCGGTCTGTCTGTCTGTCTGTCCGGTGCCTACAATTGCAGTATCATTCACCAGAAACTACACATATCCTTTGCACATTGGCAATAAATAAGGATTTAGTTTTGCAGCAATGTTGAATTCCAAGTGGGGAAATAATCTGGTCTCCCCATTTGGATTTGTTCATAGCGCACAGGCTCTGATGCTGTGTGTGGTGTGTATGTGGTGGGGGTGGGGGGTGTACGGGAATTGCCTGTGCTGTGTTTTTATTTGAAAAGGACTGTGCAAGGGTCTGAGCCACTGATGTCCCGTCCCCCCCACCCTCACACACACACACACACATACACACACTCCAGCCTTAAAGGTGTCATCCCGCAGTGAACAAGGCAAAAAGCGTCTCTCAGTGGCGGGAGGTCAGCTCGCGGTTTCCTGCGCTACAATGTGATCAATTAGCAGATTTGTAAAGAATTCCCCCCCCCCTCTCCCCTCTCCCCTCTCCCACCCCCTCCTCCCTGTTCTTTCCCCTCTGCAGCTGCAATTCCCACATCCTAGCTGACACTTGTACTTCCTGTGAGTCCAGCCCCCACCTGGACCAACCACAGTCGCTGGGGGCCGCCCGGCGAGACGAGCTGCGCCATTGGATACGACTGACATTTCCCAAAGCCCAGCAATTTGCAGCAGGCGATTCGCCATTAGCCACCGAGCTGTCAATCTGGCCCTCCACCCCCCCCCCCCCACTCCGCCCCTGCTGTTATAAATCGTGGCAATCTCCACACTTAGTTCAGTGTGAAATTTGCACCTCTGGAAGAAAGTCCAGGAATTTAAAAAAAAATTGGGGGGCGGTGGGGAGAAAAGAAGAGAAATTTCTATCTATCTGTCTGATCTGTCTATCTGTCTGTAAAGAGAAGCAGAGACAGGTTTAGATTAGACTCTTTTGTAACGGTGTGCATTTTGTTTCGGTCAGTTGTGATTGCGAGACAAAAGGCGTTTGGCTAACACTTGCAGTCGCCGTCTGCAATTTTCTCAGAAAAGGGGAAATCTTTGCATTAGAGTGGCGCAATGAAAGCAGTCGGTTCTGTACCTTCGCTCAAGAAAGGACCGGGCTGCGGCGAGATGGCATTACGCTGCCTGTCAGAGCACAGTCTCAGCATCGCTCGCTGTAAGATGGAAGAGGAGACCATGAACCTGCAGTACGACATGAAGGATTGCTACTCCAAGCTCAAGGAGCTGGTCCCCACGATCCCCCAGAATAAGAAGGTGAGCAAAGTGGAGATCCTGCAGCATGTGATCGACTACATCCTGGATCTGCAGCTGGCGCTGGAAACGCACCCGGCGCTGATGAGACCACAGCCTGCGAGCTGCCCATCGGCTCCCCGCACCCCTCTGACAGCCCTCAACACCGAGCAGGTAAATCAAACAAGATCCCCCCCCCCCCCCACACACACACACACACCTCGAGCACCATGCTAAACTTCCCTCGCTGCTAAACACCCCCCCCCCCCACCACACACACACACACTCCCCCGTTAACATTAGGCTGAATGCACAATTTAAAATTCTGCTTTGCTTTTTTTTAAAAAAAACGCAAAAAAAGAATGAGCGCATCGACCGTATTTTGTTTTGCATACGCCCGGAGTTTTAATTGCGGTGGCAACGGTTTGTGCAGCGGTGCACTCACACACACACACACACACACACAAAAAGATCTCAGCGTTTCCTCCGTGTAATGTTTCGCCCTTCCCCGACACTGGGGGAAGAATCGCACTCATCAGGTCCTATTGTCTTCTCTACAACACCAGTGGTGACTGCTGCAGTGGGGTACAGGGCATGTGATAGACACACACACACACACACACTCACTCACTCGCACACCGCACACACTATGTGCGGATGACATGTTTCATTCAAGTGCAATTCAGCCACGTTCGCCTGTCGGTATTTTCAAGATTCCGCACGACGTACAGAATTGACATCCAGCATTTCTACCCTTTTTTTTTCCAAAAAAAAAATCTTCTTTATTTTGATGAATCTGGATTATCATTTTTTTTCCCTCCCTCTCACGCGAAGCTTTGGCAGTGGCATCTTGGTATTTTTTTTAAATTAAAAGACGTCGACAGCCCAAATCGTGTCGTTTCGTTGCCCCCCTTTTTCGGGACGTTTTCAATTTGCTGTTTTTGGGGGTGAATGATGATGGCACTGTACTGGACTGGGAGAAGCAGTGCGATGTGTGGGCGCACGTCTCGTGTTGGTGCCATTTCGATTCCAATTAGGAGAGGCAATGGATGTATTTGATGACTTGTGTGCTCGGACGAGTGATGGGTATCATCTTAAATCGCATCTGTGCTTCCCTCCCCCCCCCCACACACACACACACCATAGACACACACACACACACTCAGATGCTTTGCATTACACACACACACACACACACACATCGAACTGATAAAAACGAGAGGTGCTGCCAAGAGAATTCTGTTCTACATGTTCAAACAAAACACAGTCGCGACTGCAATGCAATATGTGGCATATGTCAGCCGTGGAATTAACATGGGAGAGTGGGAGAGAGAGAGAGAGAGAGTGAGTGAGAGTGGGAGAGGTACTGAGCTTGGCTTTTGCTGGCTGTGTTTGCAGGCTGGCTCCAAAGTCAAAAGGCAAGAGGACAGCGTCCTGTGCCGTTGAGGTGACTAACGCTGTGTGAGGTGAGGTGAGGCGCCTTTCCTTCCTACCCCCCCCCTTCCCCCCACCCACCCCCACCCCCTCATCTCCTAACAATTTTCAGTTTCGCTTTTAATATCGCTGCGGTAACGTTCCCCCCCCCCCAAAAAAAAACACCCAAGTAAACTTTTTACCCCTCTCCCATCTCCCCCTCCCTCTCTTGTTTGTTTTAACTGCACCGAGTGTTGCGGATGAGTGAGTGAGTGAGTGAGTGAGTGCGTGCAGCTGTCACCCCGTTTGAAGTTTGCACTGGTGGCTCGAGAGCCGCAGTGCTGTGTGACCCCGGGTTTGTTTGGGGTTTGCTGATCAAGCATGTCTTGTGTTGTGTTGGTGGCGCCAGTCAGTCTGGAGCTCAGTGTTTCACACACCACTCACCCCTTCTCTTCCTCTACCTCCCTCTTCCCCCCCCCTCCCCTCTCTCCCTCCCTCCATTCCCTCCCTCTCTCCCTCCCTCCCTCTCTCTCTCTCCTCTCCCCATTTTTTTTCTCTCTCTCACACAGGTAGGTTGTGCCCGACGAACCGCGCGCACGAGCACAGACCAGAACGAGAGGGCGAGAGAGCGAGAGAAAGAAAAAGAAAGAGAGAGAGAGAGAGAATGAGAGAGAGAGTGAGTGAGTGAGTGAGAGGGGAAAAGAAGCAGAGAGAGAGAGAGAAAAAAAGACAGCTCCAATCTTACAACGATCAATGCCAAAAACCTGTCCAACGGACTCCATCCTGAGAGCGGATTCCTGCCAAACCACGTCTCCTCTCTCCTCTCTCGCTGTTCATAGCCTATTAGCCGCAGACTTTTATTTTCTAATATCAAAACAAATCCTGAGCTATTGATCTAAACAAAGGCTCGAGTGGGGAAGGAGGGGGGGGGGGGGGGGGGAGGGCTCCAAATTGACCGACTTCGACCCATACTACTGCTCGACAACTGATCTGAGAGGAGAAGGAGGAGAGATGAGCGGAATCAATCCATCTTTAGGAGAGCAAGTAGAAAGTTTTATCGACTAAAAAAAAAAGAACTGATTCCCGAGGCTTTACTAATCCAGCAGATTGTTCCAGAGGTTTGCTCATCTGTTTTAAATAGATGAATCGTTTGGACCAAGGTGTGTGTGTGTGTGGGGTGGGGGGGGAGAGGGGGGTTGTTGTTTTGCCCCCCCTACCCCCCCTCCCATTAAAATGTCAGCATAATGTATAGAAGTACAGTATAAGGAGGGGTGGGTGGTCGATCTTACCTGCTGTAAATAGTTCCAAGATGTTCTCTATGAGTGTACGTGAAAATGTATATGCTTTAATAGATCATTGTAATTATAAGATATTTTTTATTAAAAAAAGATTTTTGTACAGTTTTACAAGGTTTCCGTCTGCATTTTTCTTTTGGAATTGACGTGAAGCAACCCCCCCCCCCACTCCCCTTCTTCTCCCCCCCCCCCCCCCAGGTTTATCACACAACAGTAATCCCTGATAACATGACATTAGCTGCTCGAATGGAGATGGTGTGGTTTGGTTTCATTGGGGGCTGTGTGAAGCCCTGAGAGAGACGTGTGTTGCTGTCGGGCGAAGGGCAAACCTGTAAAGTGAAATGGACAAACACACACTTAAACTTGAGTGTTAAAAGGAGGTGACGAACTCAATACATTTGCGGCTTTCCTTGTGGGGGGAGTGTGGACACTGAAACCAGAGAAAGTGAGACATTCCTTTTATTGACTGGTCAAGAAAGCCCTGCCTGCTGCCCGCCTGCAGATAATATTATTTATGCACAAAACAGCCGACTAAGAGAGGCTTTCAGGATCTCTTATTTCATATCACAGTTGTTATTAATTGCTACCCGTATTTTTCTTTTTTTTAAAAAAAAACCTGATCTTACCACCAATCCTTACATCGATCGGACGTTGAAATTATTTTGAATCGGGAAAAAGTCGTGTTATATAATATATATATATATATATACATAGCTTTAACCAACATCGACATTTCCGAATAAACCTCACCCTTAAAGCACTCGAATTCTACAACGGAGTTTTAAGCACAAATCATCGTTCTCAGATCGGTCGGTTTCTCCCATAAAGTGCCCGATTTGCAGAGTCATAAAAAATATTAATACTGGAATTTATCATTTCTCTCGGATTTGCAGGTCCGAGGGGATAAATCTGCAGCTTCTGGGTCCTGCGAGACAAATCGGATTTCATGCAAACCACCCACACCAGGAAACTTTTAACAGAAAGACTCGAGGGTATTTTTTTATCTACATCTGGGACACGCACACACACACACACACACACAAATAAATAACATAAATAAGTAAATGCACGCGTTACACGAACCAATTTTTTTTCACACGACCCAACACGCATTTTAAAAGCCGTCAGGAAGTTAAGTCGTAAAAGCAAATTATTTACGAGGATTGCAAGTGTGGCTCTGCTATTCGCCTCCCCAGTACGATGTTTGATGTAGTGCGGTGGTGGGATGCGATCAGGTTTCCTCTCTGGTGGGTCAGATGTGACTGGACACGAGTGCGGAATAATGCGATGGTATCCGATGGGATGATTCGCTGTGCCCGACTGGGAACGGGTTGCCCTGTGGCTGTGATTTCAAGCCGTTCCTTCAGGATCGAGCCCGGGTCAACCTGGTGGGGAGGGGGAGAGAGAGAGAGAGAAGTGGGAGTCGCAATCAGTCTCTGTGGCTTTAGCCTGAACTGAAGCGTCATTGGATTTGGAGGCGAGATGTTGGGGGTGAACGTGGGCTGAGTTGGGAGTTGGGTGGGTGGGTTGGTTTATGGGGTGTCCAGTCAGTGCAGTGCCACCCGCTTCCTTTACTGACTGGTCTGGAGCATTGCTAAATCCGCTTTGGCGTCGGTCGCTGGACCTCATCGCGATTGCCGGAGAGGTCAGAGGTGCTTCATGAGTCCCAGTTGTCGGGACTTGTGCAGTTGGGGTTCACAGGGCTCCAGAAGGGCTGTGCGCGGTTCCCGTGGGCTTCACAGTGCGCTTAGACGCCGAAGGTTGGGCTTCTCCGTGTGATGTCCGGGGAATGGCATCACGATCCAGGGGATGGCATGAGATCAGACAAGTGTGTGAGACAGCACTACCAGCGCCTGTGCTGCTAAACGGAGTTGCACAGGATGTGTTTGATTAATGTGGGATGATGTGATTTGGACAGCAGCCCGACGTGATACTGGGGATTTGGGGGTTGGGGGCAATGTTTGTTCTGTAGATGGGCTTCACCGAGTCATTCGAACCTAATTTAATAACTCTTCGCGAAGGTTGGATTAGCTCTGCCATCTGATTAGGTCTCCGAAATCGGGTTTGCACAGCGAAATCACTTTTTTTTTTCAAAAAAAAGAGATCAATTTCTAACAATCTCCATTAACATATTCTCGTATTGTGTTATTTTTTTTTACAAAAAACCAACCCCGAACAGCATGCCATAAATTTATCGTTTTAGCTCTCGTGTTTTGAGTTGAGGCACTGCTGTGGCTGGGATGCACACTTGAGGATCCTCTGACTAGTCTGGGGTACAGATGAGGGGACAGTAGTTTTTTTTTGTGGAGGGGTGGGGGGGTGGGGATGGATGTGTGTGATAGTTTTGTGTTATTCTGTTAATTGGGCAATGGGTTACATAACTGATGGGGAGTCTGGCCTCAGTCACACACTGGAATGTGTGTATGTGGGGGCAGGGGATCCATGTAGTCCTGTCCCACTGCCAAATGGTCAAAGGTACCATCCAGTCACTGTGGGATCCAAGGCACTCGCTAATTCCGTGCTCTGCTGAAAGAAATCCAGGTGCAATATAATAATCCACAACCCGTAGGGAAGTGAGGCCTTGGAAATAATTTGACAGAAAGAAAATTAGACAGATGGCAAGAGCGATTTTTTTTTGGGGGGGTGGGGAGGGGGGGTTGGGGGGGGGAAATAGCTGTTTTTAATCTCTTAAATCATTAAGTAGTCTTAAACGCTATTATCCCCATTCTTAACGATGGCAGTTTGACTTCTGTGGCGAAGTGGCTTTGTTTTTCTTTGTCCACAGACATCTGGATGTATTCAGCAGTAAATGTTTTTACACGCCTACAGAAAAAACAATTATAGATGCGCTTGTGATTTATGAATTTTAAATGCTCCGTTGGGGCAGATCTGATAGGGGGGAACCCGTACCAAACTCAACATTTGGGAAGGATTGGGAGAGGATGGGTTCAGAATAACGGAGGACGGGATTGAGTGCAACAGTGAAGGATTTTGCATTCAATCTCGCCCTCTAGAGGTGCAGAAGCGACCACAGATGGAAATGTTAGTTAATAATACTGTATATATGCAAACTGCCACACACGGTTGCTGTCTGTCTAACCCACAAGAGTCACTGAATGGATAACGCTTTTTGTTTTAGAAAAAAAAAAGTTTCAACGACCAGCCCAACAGCTTAGATTTAGAAGAGGAGAAATACTGTACGTGTGAAGATTAGTCGCTGAGACTTAAGGAAAAGATTCCCATCGCAGTGGTCCCTTCTGCATCGTTTCTCGAGATCAGAATGTTTTTTTTTTAACGTGGTTAAGTTCCCCTCACTCTCTCTCTCTCTCTATATATATATCCCAAATGCATTTATTCTGATATATACAATAAATCCGAAGCTGCGATTTTTACTTTGCCCACCGAGAGCAAAAGAAAAATGCATCTCTCAGTATTTCATGAATTTAAAAGCGACTTCTTTTTTTTATATAAAAAGAGAATTCAGTATCGACTGCATTTGCAGCATTTGAATGCTGAATTTGTAAACCTACTGTCAGAAGAGACGGTAGGTTTTCTCATACAAAAATAAAGCTTTGAATTCTGATTGCATTTACGCGTTAGTAGTTTTAGTAGTTTTATTGAAACACTGCTCAAATTATATATTTTTGCAACGGCTAGAAAACATATTGGTACCGTTGCAGTATTGAAAACGCATGCAGATAAAATATTTGGTTCCCAAAATGTGATCAGAAGTCGATCCAACCTTTCTTCGAGGCTTCTTTCTCTTCCTCGTTTCCATTCCTTTTAACTTTAATCGACTTCGGTGGATGTGTTTGGCTCTCCGCAGAACTTGTGCCGTTTGGCTGCTGCTCGAAGCAAAAATACAGAAAGATTTAGGCGGTTTAGGAGGGTGACTTTGTGGAGCTAAAACGCTAAAACATGATTCAGTATTAATTCAAATGACAAGTGTGCTTTTGCACAAGTCATTGTATTTTCTATGGGCAATAAGGTAACCCTTAAGAGCTACACCAAATATATACTGCACTAAAGACACGGTTTGAATAACATACTTCATCCGTATCTTTCACAATCAGAACAATTAGCAAAATCAGGGTTTTTGGGGAGGATTTTATTCTAAAGAGTTTCAATGCAATAATCCAGCATTTAGCACATGTGAGTGCTGCTCGTCTTTATTGCTGCTCCTTTGCTATTTGGATCAGCGATTTCATGGACCCGATGGGACTTTCGCAGTTAGCACATCATGTAACAGACCGCAGGACTGCTTTTAACCCAACTTTTGCAACAGGAGAAATACGTGAGCTTTTGTTTACTCGGCCAGGGGCATTTTGAACAAATCGGTTTGTTTTGCAGGAT